CCCCACCGTGGATCCTAAACCCTCACATCGGCCCCTGAGCTCACCGCACACCACTACCCCCACGACGAAGTTGAACACGGCGCCCCGGGTGCTTAAGCAGCGAGGCCTTCGGTGCAGAAGTTACAGGAATGCGTTCTGAAGAGAGCACTGTTAGGGCCAGGATTCTGGGTCCAATACTGAATACCATCCCGACAAAAGAAAAAACTTCGAAAAGAACTTCGTTCACAACGAGGACCCTGTGGAGCTTAACCTCGATTCCTTAGGAGGTTTTCGGACCCCTAAACTCTCTAACATGTCGCCCTAAGCCCTAAGCTTCAGAAACCCTAGAACTTGCATCCCCATACTATGGCGGCACGATAAGCGCTGCCCCCCTTAAAGTTTGAGTATTCATGTCCAACATTGTGGTTGGGGGGGGGGACTCTAAAACCCAAAACCCAGCAAAACAACTATAACAAGACCCTCTCAACCCTAAACTCCATAATGTTGGAGCTGCTTTGATGTGTTCGCCGCCCCCCAACTCTCACCCCACTCGGCTTTTCAATCTTAAGCCCTGTCGGCCTTGAATTTAGTTTCAACGCCCGCCCTCTTCAAACCCTTTGCTGGGCTGGGGGGGGACCGTAATCCCCTTCAAGGTCTGCGGGGCCCGTTTATAGCGGCAAAGCGTTGATTGTTCAAGGCGGAGGGCCTTGAAAACAAGGCACCAGGCCTTCGAAATCCAAAGGCTAGTGGGCTTAAGATTTCAAGAGCCTAGCCTTCAACCCCAAAGGGCCAGGCCTCATCTAAAACCCACTGGGCTGAAGATTTGAGATTTCAAAGCTCGGGGGGGGGTAGGGGTAGGACATAAAAGACAGTGCGCTCCTGGCCCCTGGACCACCCCTGGCCGGATTGATCGGGATTGCTTTCTTTGCTTCTTGTTCTGAGAAGGTGGCTGTACAGCGGGCCGCATCCCCCCCTCCCCTCCAAAAAAAAAACGAAAAACACCATGATCCTGAATGCTGGCCAAATTACTTGACTTTAGAGGGGGGAGGCCGCAACTAAGGCGGGTCCACATTAAACCCTACATGCCCTAAACCCGAAACCCTAAACCCTAAATGCCCTAAACGCCCTAAACCCTCAACCCTAAATGCCCTAAACCCTAAACCCGAAACCCTAAACCCCTAAACCCACCCCCCAGGTCCCTGGCTGGGGAGGGCTGCCACCATCTATCTGCTCCTCGAGTCGATACAGAAACGGAAGTTCTCTGAGCCGACGAAGGGTTTCTGCAGGATGGTTGTTTCTTTTGGCTTTCAGGAGTTTTGGAGCGAGGGGTGTTGCGGGGTTTAGAGGGGTGCTAGAGAGGCTTTGGAGAGTGTTTGCAAGGCTTTAGGTGTTGGGGCTTGAGGGGTTTTTGGACTTGGGGGTTGGCTCCTTAACCCTAAGTTCGCAGATGGCTGGACCCAAACCTGAACCCTAAACCCTAAACCTTAAACCCTAAACTGGCGAGAGCACCGCTGACCATATACATGGGTGCTCGAGCCTCTCGGACAGGGCTCTGCCCTGGCGCGTTTCGAATCTACGCGCATGGGAGGGGACAACCTCCCCAAAACAACCGCTTTCCACTGTGCCATTCCCTCACCGCTGGCGTCTTGTTATTGGTTGCCAGGGCTCCCCCGATTTGCGGAACGGGGCGCCCGGGCCCCTGCAACACCCTCAGGGCTGGGACCCTGCAGCTTCCGGCATTCTTTCCGGACATGACAATTGGGAATCCTGCCCCTTTCAGGGGGGGCACTCAGGGGAAGCGTTTCCTTTCTCACAGACGAGAGGCCGAGGCCTCACCGAACCTTTTTCAGCGCAGCTTCTCCGCTTCTCAGATTCTCCCGGGCTTTACCATTGGCGCCTGACTGACCGTTAGAAGTGTTTTGGAGTTTGCGGGTAGAACCCCACATCCGGAAAATGACGGGGTCCTTTCTGCCATGAACATCTGTGCAAAAAGGATTTTTCCCGAATCCTGGAGCTTCTTAGGGCTTAAACCCCCCCTCTTGGAGGCTTGAGAGAAGAACAGCAAGGAAGCCCCCCTTGCTCTACAAGAAAATAGTTAGGGTGGCGGTGGGGCTACTAGGCTATCAGGTGCGTGACAGGGAGTGCGGCCCTAGATCTGAAGAAAAGGCGCAGGCCCCGCTCGCATACACTGATCTAAACCCTCTAAGCCCTTAGCTGTGGATGGTTTAGGGCTTAAAGCTGCCGAAATCAGAACTTCTATGAACTACCAACGTAATGTAAGTGCTTGCTTCACTCTAGACCTCGAACCCTAAAGCCCACACTCCTAAAGCCCACACGGTCTAAGCCCTGAACCCTAGAGCCTGAGCCCTGCAAACCGAGGCCCACATCCCCTGAAGCCATTCAAAGGTCTCCGGGCAGCTTTCCGCCAAGGCGCACT